CAAATAGCCTCCTCAAGTGTATTTCGCAGTTTGGTTCATCGACAGCAAAGCCATCAAGCTGAGCTTCATTCCTTGCAAACCAATTGAGTTTGAGATGTGAATCTGTCTTGCATCAGCCAAGCATCAGTGATATGAATAGACTTCGCATGTTGACAAGTTTTCTGGCCAGTCTGTACGAACCTCATCTCCAGGTGATGTGATGCAGATGAACTGCAGCGACACCAAGCACACTCATCCTCCCTCATTCCACAAGTGTTCATGAGCGGGAGAAAGAGACGCTGGCATTGAATATGCTAATTAGCATTAGCGCTTAGCAAAGCAAGGCTATCATGCTATCTGTCTCAAAGAGCAGGGCCTGGCTACATTTTTAATGATAAGGCAATGGTTTCTTGGCAACTAAGGTTACATTTAGCCTGAAAATATGTCCCCCCACCATGCCGAAGTGGATGGATTCAGACATGTGAACATGTTTAAACCTGCCCATTCATAGTGTGCTGATCATTCAGCCATCTGAGCTACAAACAAGGCATCTAAAAGCTCCAGACTTTCATTGACTGACCTCATCCAGCCTGTGTCACCAGTGACAGTCAAGTCTGTCCTGAACAACACCTCTGAAATTGGAACTTCAGATGGGGAACTTGACGTACCAGTCAACCCTTAGGCAGACTCACCGTCATGTAAAAAAGTAAAGGGAGATACAGTACTGTACAAAGGTCTAAGGCAGCCACAGAAAATAATGTTTAGATGATCTTTATGTTGGCATTATGTTGGTTATTATGTCTGTCAAAGTGTCAGCTTAGCCATTTCAAAACTCCTGCTAAAATCACCCCAGTATTTACAGCAACCATACGATACACCACTAGCACACCTCGTACAGCTAATCAATATCTCATTGACTTTTTACACTAATTTAATTAATTAATTAAGGGAGCTGATGGTGAAATTTAATTAATACATGGAGTGGCTGAGGTGGCTCCGTAGAGAGGTCTGGGAACTGAAGCGATGTTCATCTAGCCATCCAATACAGAATAGAAGAAATTTTTCCCTGTTTTTATTGTATTATACTTAATTTGCATATATTCTAATGTTAAACTGTGTTTTTTTTGTTCTGAGCAAAAGTTCACTTACTACTCAGACAAAAAGCTTTAAACATTTCTTTGGCCAGTCTAAGACTTCTACACAGTACAGTATATGAGGAACCTGATTGGTCCCAAAAAGAAACAGAGGATGTCTGGGCATTACTGAACAATTTTGTAAGGTCTTATGTTTTTACAGCAAAACATAAGCGTTTTTTACAGCGTTTTTTTTTTACAGCTTTTACAGCAAAGTCCTGTTTTTACAGCCTTCACCACCCCATGCCAAATTTGGTGCTTAAACATCTATGGCTCTGCGAATAGTTATATTCAGTGATGTGTATATAGAATATGTGTTTATTACTTTACATCAGTGTTTCCCAATGAGGTCCTTAGGGACCCACAAATGGTCCACAATTTTGCTCCCTCCCAGTCTATGGACTGGGAAACATTGCTATAGATCAGGGGTCTCAAACCACTGGCCTACAGGCCAAATTGGACCCATGATGTGTTTTTCTGTGACCCTTTGCTCCTTTTTGCATCAAAGTAGCGACACCACCAGGGTCACGTCTCTCACAGAGCTCTGTTTCATTTATCCACCGGAGTACTGGTTAGGGCCCTGAAAGAAGAACATTATATAAATGGCTCTGGATTACTCATTATCCACTTTGAAAGGCTGCTTGATCCAAGAAAGTCTTTCCAGACAGGAACAGATTGTAAAGTAAGAGCAAGCAAGCTTCACTCTACCAGAACTGGTGTCAAATTATAAACCTACAGGTAAAACACAGCATCGCCGCTGGCTTTTGGAGATAAGGTGTAAAAATTCTACAATTAGCACTAAATCCTAAAGTATCAGCCTAAATCTTCCATCACCTTACTGATATACAATATGAATGTCAAGTAACTATTATCGAAAACCAGCAGAGACACCTAATTGGCTATTTATGCATCAATTACATGTAAAATTACATCAGCTTGCAGAGACAGACATCTCCACTGGGTAAGATGAGGCAAGCAGCAGAACGCTTTGCACAAAATAGTAGCACTTTGGCGATTCAGCGGGAAAGCGCTGCTTGGCGTGAGGGTGTGTGCAGAACGCGAGGCTTGATTTTCGGGAGGTGGGGACAGAGCTGTCAGAGACACGCTGTTCCTCCAAGAAATTCTTTTGCACGTTTTTTTCAGAGCCGATCCGTCTCTTACATCCAGCACTCATCCGAATTTCCATGTATTTTCCAGGTGCCTCTTCATGGGCCGATTGGGAGGAAGCCTATACATTAGTTTTAAAAACACCAAAATGAAAAACATCATGAGTAGCTGTTTCCGAGCTTCACCATGACTTTCAAATGTTATTAAATTTTGATATGTTACTGTAGATCTAAATTTTTTTTTTCACAGCAGATGCTGAAAAAAAGGCACAAAGGAAATGGAAAAGCGATTATCCTAGATGTACTTAACCTGAATTATTCCAGTAAAATATTCTGCATGTGGCATAAAGGTAATCTATGCACAGCCCTCTGGGGGGAGGTAGCAGAGGAGTGAGATCGCACTCTCCTTTAGGAGTGGGAGGATAAAAGTGAGGTCTCACTCCATGATGTGGCCAAGCAATTCCTTTGCATTTTTCCCATGCTTGAAAAAAATCTGCCATTTGAGATTTTCACTGGGGTAGCCGTGTCAATCTGGGGATGGGGGTATCCACTGGGGAGTGTCATGGCAATGGTTAGATCTGTTGACTGGGGGGGCATTGGGCCCATCCATAGCTGCACCCCTGGCTAACAGGCTAATCTTTTTAGCATCATTCTTATCCCACAATGTTACTATTCTGACTATTTAATTGCCAGTGGCTGGGACTCCACACAGTGCAGCTGTGATACAGAGAAATGTGGCCTGTATTTTCTGACACGGACAAGTCTGACAGTCCTGCACAGACGTTACAGTCGTCCTTATAAATCCCGGCAAGCCTGTCAGGTTTTCTGGCTGATAACATGAACCGCTTCTGTAAGGAGACCAGGCTGCCGTATTAATGGCTGATGTTAATGGAAATACTGGTGTGAAGGTAACATAAAGTGATGGTTTATAATCTGTGGTATTTAGTTAAAAACGTGGCATTAATTAATTATTCATAAGGAAAGCTGCGTCTTCATGCTGACTGAAATTTACACAAAGTCCTACTCAAATATGAATTTTGGGAAAAGCAGGTGTTCAACAGAAAAGCTACTTTACTATGATTTAGAGCTGAGATGCTTTTAACCCAGTGTACATGAGCAGATGGTGTTCATTTAAGGAACACGCATGTTGGCTGTGGTCATATTAGAAGCATGTGTGCAAACTGTGTTCATTTTAGAAGCACACGTCTGAACTGTGGTCATTTTACACTGTATTCATTTTTAAAGAACACTTATGGACTGCGGTCCTATTAGAAGCACACGTGTGGACTGTGTGAACACACTACGGTCATGTAAGAAGCACGCATGTGAACTGTGGTGATTTTAGCAGCACACGTGTGGATTGTGTTCATTTAAGTAGTGAATTCGTGGATCATACACACCGGATAAAACCCTACACGACTGTTAAATATTTGAAGGTCCCTCACATTTAAAGTGTTCTGCTATTTCCCTGCAGATCATTATTATAACATAAGGCTTTTTGATCAAAGCGCAGTTTCTGAGGGGAACCTTCTGGGACCCTTTTGAAGTTAGAAGGAGATGTTTAAGCCCTTAAAGTTGGGTCTTCAGACGCCACACCGTGCACAGACTCTCTCTGTCTCTCTCTCTCTCACACACACACCCACGGCAAGGAACATTAAAAGGAGTCGCACGCACTGAAATCACCATTTTACACACAGGCTGAAAATCGATCTGTATTAGAGTGACGTATTAAAGGGGACGGCACACCAATAAAAAAACAAGGGAGTGCAAAGTGGTTGGTAACCGTTAAGTTCTTGTGAGGTTCATCAATCCCTGTTGTCGGTATCTTCAGTTCAAGTTCCTTCAAGGCAGGCTGGTGCTATCTGTGGCCTACAGGAAGGTGACCACTGTGTGGGCCGAGGTGACGGATAGTTGACAGAGCTCCGCGACCGCGGAGCCGCGGATCCAGCCTGGAACAGCTGTCCACGCGCTCCATGGCGGGAGCACGGATGGGATCACACTTCCCATCTTCCCAGGTTCTTCCTGGCAGAGTTTTTCACGGATCACGTATTTGGTTTATTCTCCTTCCTCGTGCAGTTCCTCTATGACTGTCCTCCATAATAATTAATGACATCTTTATATGAAAGTCATATCGTTGAACCATGTTTGTATCAACACGGACCAGCCTGAGATCCATCGGCAGCTCGGACATGGCCAAGGTTACCGTCTCCTAAATACCCCTCTGATTCCCTCGATAAATTCTGTGAAATATCAAAAATACTTCTCATTTCTATTTTAAAATCTCATAAAAACACTCTAAATATATATATAGAAATAAAATCTGATGCAAATTATTTTAAGAAGTGTTTAAAGCTGTATGTTTCTAATGGAAGTTATCCCACAATCGAACATTCATTTGAAAAGTATAGTGTAAGGGGTTATAGGAAACACTGTGATCCTGTGCTGGATAAGTGAGTATCAGAGACAGATGGATGGTCACATTCAGCTGAGGGTATTAGCTTATGTTAGGGCTTCTCCTGTGGAGAAAAGATTCATGACCTTTGGGGTTTTTTTCTTGGTTATATTGGTATTTATAACGCCTTCTGCGTCCCGACTCGGACCTCAAGTTGCTCCCAAAATACCCTTTGTTACTTTCACAGGCTCAGTGTTAAATGCTATTTAGCCATTTTCGTGCTGGTGTCACACCCGACATGCCTTGGGGGTGGAAGCCAGAAGGGACCACGTGCGGTTTAATCTGCATCCGTCTGTGTGGGGTGGGGGTGGGGGTGGGGCCGGGGGGGCTGCTCTGAGCTGGGCCGCATGCCTGCTGGACGGGAGTCTGCCTAATCCAGACTGCTTCTACTGTACCCGTGCTTAACCCGTGCTGCCAGCAGATAGATGAGGGAAGCCTGGCCGCTCGAGGCAGAAAGCGCCACGCGCACAGCCGGAATATTCCGGGGCTGTGCCACCAACACATGGGGTTTTGACCGTTTAGCTGATTTTTTTCCCCAAATAACCAGGAAGTGAAGTCTCGCTTTATTAACTATTTTGTTAATGCCTGCTCTTGCAGATAAATCAGGAGCGGTGCCTTGCCGGATTGTGCACAGGCAGGCCTATCTTATCTGACCGGGCGTGATTATGCCGTTGCTCAGGGTAACAGACGCCCGTCCACGTGGCCAGCGGGTCACAAACGCCAAGGAGGGTAAGAATGGCTACCAGGATCTACCTGGAGAGGCCAGTCAGGGATTTGCTCCCAGAAAGACTGTTCTCCATCTGGGGGTGACAAAGACAGCCAGACAGACTTAAAGTTGACCGGACTCAAACGCGACCTTTCTGGTCGAGCGGGACGGAAGCAGCTGGCAGAGCTGCCAGGCGTGATGCCGTAACGCTGAAAGACTCGCCTTGGAAAGGGAGCACTTCCTGTTCGCAGTTTCAGAACAGGAAGTCGGGAGCCAAGCTCAGAGCAGAGTGACGACTCCACAGGAAGATACATCTCACCTGTGGTCCTGGGCCAAGCAGATCGGATGGAAAATTATATTTATAGGCCTATGAAATGCACTATATAGATTTGAACTTGACAGAGACCTACGAGCAAGTTTTTAAAGGATAAGAAGCAGTCAGTGCTTGGGAGGTTAGCCGTGAATGAATAACAGACCTTGTGTTCTTTTTTTGTGGTAATAATCTGGTTTGTCTGAGTGTTCTCCACGGTCTTTCGGTGAACACGCGAGACGCAGGCTCCCTCGAGCTCTGACAGAAGGCATCTTTTAAAGACGGTTAACCGATTGACGTGCGAGCTCGTCCCACACTTCATCCAGGGTCATCTTACACTCCACAGTCCAAACGCTGTCATACTTCGGCTGTGGATGGGGCTCTGCATGTCAGACCTGGACTTTGCCGTCTCTGGCTGTGAATCGTTCGCTGGTTGCCCCACCCCAGAGGGCCGGTGTCGGGGCACAGGGCCGGCCAACGCTTACTGGCTGTGAGTGGCACTTTCACTATGGACCAGGAGGACCTGCAGGGACAAGATGGAAACACATTAACGAGAGCAGTGTGAGAGAGGACTGCTGGGAAAGCAGCTTGCCTGCCGCAGTCACCGAACGACAAGGTTTGAAGGGAGCAGATTAATGCAGATACACCTGGAGGAATGAGGGCCGTCTCCCCAGATAGGAGACGTGACTCCGTCCTCCAACATTCAGAGATCAGAAGGCTTCATGCATTTCAAATCTGCACGTTTAAATGCGACATCTTTCCACTTGTGCAATTTACTCATAAACGCTGTTACACCAAATGTCTGCCTCCAGAGCATGTAACCAGTGTGAAAGACACGTTTAGGGTGCTGTGTGACATCACTGAGCCAGAATCACACATTTTCCACATTGAGTAGACTCAAGCTTTCCTAAAACATTTCCTAATGATTAATAAATTAAATTAAATTAAAAGAACAAAAAAGGCACATGTCTTAATAATATCTGATTAAGATGTAAGAGAATAGATACACACTTAAAAATACCAGGACTTTCCTACGATAAAAAGCGTACGATCAAACAGATCCTGTTGTAGTGCTGACTGAACATTTTCCCGGCCAATGTCCTCCTCTCGTTACTGGAGTGTCCTTAATTATGAAGTGTCTTTTCTTTTTTACCTTCTGCTTTTTGATTGGCCAGCACTTCCTGTCTCCTTGCCCCTAACCCCGCCGAGCTAGCAGGTGTCACGTTGTGATGGACGAACGACTCGAGGGCTGGTATCAGGAAAACAAAATGGCCTTTATTAACATGAGCGGGGAAACAAATAGGACCACAAGGGGTGAAAATGGGAAGACTGACTCGGGGATGGGCACAGGCAACAGGAGGACTGACGTTAATGATCAGACTGGGGATGGCGAGACAAACAGATACGTCATTATCAAGACTACCGAGGGACAACAAGCAACAGGCACAGCTCATCAGGGTCACACAAGGGAGGAGACAGAAGTGTCACATGGACATGGTGGGCAGGGCATAACAACAGGACACTAACTCATCTCTTTGACTCATCGCTGCCCTGTTCCACCTGTACTAAATTACTCACCCTCCATGTTTTCAGACACATTTACACCTCACGTGTACCACCTGCACTGTCCTACACGCGTCCTGGTTCTTTATTCATTCATTATTTACTTGCTTCTTCGGGAGGGAATGCTGTGTTGGACTTGTTTATTTTTGTAAGTCGGCTGCCCTGGGGGATCAGAAAAGCTCTATCTTATCTTATTAAACACGGATGTTCACTCGAGCGCAGCCCCTAGGACTCCAGGGCTGCTAAGAATGACGTCACAGCGAGACTCATGTTTACCGCCTCCCCAGGCATGGGCAGCGTGTCACGGGCAGCACAGGAAGTCTGCCGAAATCCTTCCTGTGCAGCCTGGGGGGGGTCAGTCTGCCAGGGGCAACAGGAAGGAAGGACAGAGTCAAACCTGATCAGATGTGCCGGGAATACAGGAGCCTGAGACTGAACGTGGCAGCACATTACAGAGCTTCACATAACAGGATTACTGTTCAATGACTACCATGACCCTCAGCAGGTAAAGAGAGATATATGGATGGATGGATGGATGGACAGAGACAGTGTATCCATATTTGGTGACATAGCCAGTTGTGAAGAAGGTTCTAAATGCACGTTCTTGTAGATTGTGCAGGTCCTTTGATGTTGTTTTTCACTAAGAATGATGGTGGAGTGGAGAGACATATAAGGACACAATACATCTAATTGAAATCACCATTCCTATTTACCTCAGAGGTGCTCTGCTATGGTTTTGGGGTTGCAAGGTGTTCCAGATTTTAAGTTCTCTTTAAACTGCTAATAGCCAAAACACAAAGGGTAAGAAAAATAAATTAGACCTATGGGCATAATTAATAGTGAAACTGAGTGTGTTTTATTGCTGGGCCAGATGGCAGTAGCTTCACAGCTGGTATAGCAGCAAGTACTAGAGAACGTAGAGCCCAACTGCAGGTAAATCATAGCAATTGCTTTTAATGGGAGTCATATTAAGATTAATAAACTGGTAAAATGCACCCACCGAAGACAGCAAGGTGCCTGAGTTCCCTGATCTGCCTGAGTAGGTGGCAGGCTCACCATGGTGCAGTAATGGGTAAGAGCTTATGGAGATTAATAGGTGGACTGATGCACCCAACATTAAGTCCGGGACATTGAGGACCTGCGCAGGTGATATCTGGTGACAGATATTAAGGTAAATGTCTTCAGAAACCCATCAAATATGGCTACCCAACTGAAGAGAACAGGGGTAAAATAGGAGCCAATGGCATCTCAACAACCTCTTCTAAAATCATTTCTCTTTGTCATTGGACCGCTAGCTTAACTGACCTTCAATCATCTCACCATTTTGGTACTTTAGTAGTAGATTTAGATCTTCTCCAGGTGCTGTGATCAATCTGGGTCTTGGTAACATGTTATCTGGGGCTTGCTGACCTTCTGCACTATAACTAGGATTAATGTTGGGTGAAGAATCCTACAAGCAGTCAGTGAGAACAAGCTGATTATGAATCATCCCCTTTGCTTTTAGCCAAGGCTGCTGCTGCAGGAGATGTTCTACATGATGAGTATCAGAGAGAATAGATTCTATCTCGCCATACTATGGGGCCTCCTTGGTTCTTGTGTCACCCTGATTTTCACTTTCAGCACCTCACTGACCCGCACACACACCACTTCTTAACAGGGCAGCTTCCACAGAACAGCCCAAAACCAAATCCAGCCTGATTACCTGTCTTCTGGCCCAACACGAGCTGACAACAGCCTCTTTTATCCAAATAAATGCTTTTCAATTCAGCCCATTACAAACCCAGCTGATTATACAGAGATGCAAGTGAGTAAAATTAAACCAAATGCAACTCCCCAATCCCTCAAGTTGTGACTATACAGCTCTGGAAAAAGACCACAGGACATTTTTTTGTTTCACTCATTTCTTAATTTATGGTTATGCGTCTGTGAATAATATATACATTTCTTTTGTAAACTCAAACCTGGCTCTTCTCTGTTTCTCATTGATGAAGGGCTTCTTCCTTGCTTTATGGGACTTCAGTCCTGCTTCTAGCTCTAATATAAACTAGCAGTGCACTTCACACCTGCACTTAATGTTTCCCATTCTTTTTGTAGGTCACTTGATGTCATCCTACGATTAATGAGGCACTGCCGGATAAGTCGACAGTCATTTCTGACATCAGAAAGTCACTTCCTCCCTCTACCTGGCTGGTTTCTGGTCATTCCCAGTGTCTCCTGCTTCACCTTGTTCTTGTGTACTAAAGACTTAGAAATTTTGAGCCTCGAAGCCACCTGCTGCTCAGCGTAGCCTTCCGCCCGCAGAACCACGATTAAACCAGGATTAAAAAATACAGATTTAAAAAAAATATAAAGGTACTTTTTTCCAGAACTTTATTCTGTATGCCTAACCAACAATGATAAACCTGTGCTTAAAGGCAGGGCTCATTCTCAGTGCCTGAGGAAACTACCGTGGATGGACTGCAGTGAGGTGTTTGCTCCATAAGTACCAACACACCTAGGAGACATATGAGATGCATGAAACTGATTGGCTGAACAGAGTGGATCTGAATCAGTAATGAGGCAAAGTTTAACCCACCTCTGGTGGACTGGCTGTGTTCAATACCACTTCAATAATCTGGTTACCCATAATGCACTGTAGCACAATGCCTATCAACAGGTTATAGCACGTTAACTTAACAGCACAGTCTATGTGTCGTGTGGGAGATGGTCTAACTTACACATGTAAGCCAGATTTATAACAAGGTATAAGGCAGAACGTGCTTCACTGAGTTTGAAAGGTACCACTGACATGTCAGACTGTGTGGAATAGAGAACTGCAGTGTTTAACAATATGCATCAGCAGCTCCTCGGAAACCAGCTTCACGCCCCCCCGCTCTGTGCCGTTAATGACATGCATGCCGGCCATCTAACCCTCTATTACTGCAGATGACTAACATCAGTGACGATTCTGAGGCATTCTGCTGAATAAAAAATGATTTACACTATTAAATCGAACACGAACAGAGCCTTCAAATGTTCATTCTTAGCTCATGCACCAAGCGACACTTGAGACTGCTTGCTGATTACTGTTCTTACTGATTATGTGATTGCAGTGGCACTTTGTGTCTGTTTATCACCCTTATTATGTGCATTGACCTGACGTTCACTTTCTCTGGCTGCTAAACATACGGAAACCTGAACAAATAGGGCTTTTGGTCACCAAAACGATGCTGGATGGTTGGCAGGAATATTGTCACCGTGGCTTGTTAGTCACCCACATTAGGAAGTGAAATTAAGTTAAAATTAACACACAAAAGGCAGCTGTGTGTTATAGTGTGCAGGTGTGTCACCTACGCCAAGCTGCCCGAACACGACTCAGATGCTCTCTTGCTCTGAAGGGTTCTCCCGTTGTCTCTCCAGGAGAGGTTCCCCGTGATCTAAAAGAACGTGACGGTTTCTGTACTCGCACACGCACACACACACACACACACACACACACAGGCACGCCTCTCAGCACATGCAGATAACTCAGCAGATAACTCACAGGTTTACGGAGCTCCTGCCCTAAGAGCCTGCAAGTGTTACTACGCAGAAGTATTGAAGGTGGGAGGGACAGAGGGAGAGGATGAACGCAGAATGTTAGCACTGATGTACATTAGATCTTTTTGGCAAGGTTCTGTTTGCTGTTTTGTGCGTACGACTATCACTCTGCTGGATTTCATTCATTGCTGACCGGACTGGCTTCTTCTTCCTGAGAGGAGGTCTACCCTGTCACGGATTCTGGGGGCATATTTTTTCCCAGCATACTTGTCTGTTTGCTATGCACTGCTCAGGTGTCATGTGACCTCAAGGAATGTCCCTGGACAAAGCTGTGCATCCTGATTTGATACGCGTCCCAATGAATGGGATGAAAACACAGCTCCCAGTCGGTCTCCAGATTGGGTGGACGTGAGGAGTCTGGTTGGCGATGAAAGGGCTGGGCTCCCTACGGTGCGCTGAGGTGTCACAGTACCACAGAGTCGAGGCGGTGCTCTTGAATGTCTTTTCTGCATCACTATGGCGTCAACAAGCCCCATCTCGCTAGCGTGAACTCCCCCTCAGCCTCTGTGACTCTCTCGACGCCCCAACATTCCCTGCCTTGCTCTGAATCTCTCACTCTTCATCTTCTCTGCCCCCTCTATTTTACCTCCATCCCTTTTCTCTCTGTCTCCACCTTGTAGTCCTGCTCCAGATTACCCTTCTGTTCTCGTTGTTCATTCCACGTTTCTTTTTTTAACTTTTTTTTCTACGTTTCTAAGATGTAGCTCCAGTTATGACGAATCAAACTAGCTGGGCTTCTGAATCCCCTTCGCGGTTTCACGCAAAATCAATAAATACACAGGATCTGATTATCATATACTGATGCATCATACATCTATATCTGCAACTCTGTTTTAGTCCCTCTCTATCTATTATTTCTGCAATTTGTCTACATTGGACTGGATCCAATAAAATCAGTTCAACTTCTCTACAGTAAATGTATAAACCATGCAAACTATCTAGAAATGATCACTTCCTGCTTCCTGTAATCAGCGTATAAAAATGACCGGATGGCAGCTCTGAAAGGACGAAATTCCCCTTCGTCTTTTCACACAAATTCAAGAACAAAGACTTCTAGCACGAGTATGGCGGGTACTTACCAAGTCTCCCCACGTTCGCTCTTTTATTACTGATGATGACTTATGTCCCTTTCTTTCACCCTTTTTTCTTGGAGAATAAATGAAAAAAAGCTAATCTATCAGTACGAGAATATATCTGCTGTGGCACTGCTGACATTAAACGGTGGTGGTCGTTGTCTTCCGGAGAATGGTTTTCTGTGGTTTGGGGTTGATGGAATGAGGCACGTATGGTGGTTTTGTGGGGGGGTAACCGTGAGCGACGCCAGGACCCCCGTTCTCCAGCGTCCGGCCCGAGCAGGTGTGGGAGGGGCTCAGGTGCGTGTCGGCCAGTTCACACTCCAGAGACAGGTCCTCATTTTGGACGTCGTACTGAAGGTCGCAGTCCGGACAGTAGCCGTGATACTGGACCTTCTCGCTGAAGCGAACCCGCTCCCGCGTGACCTGGGGGCACCTGCTTTTCTCGTGCCGAAGCAGGGGCGTGAGCTCCGCCCCCGCGCTGGACTTCTTCTCCGTGATTTTGGGCACGTGACACTGCAAGTCTCTATTCATCTGTATCCCTGGGAAGATGCCGTTCTGGAGGGGAGCCCCCGCAGCTTTGCCTGAGATCCCTGATAGCTGGCCCTGGCCGTGGTCCTCCACTTTCACGGGGGTCAGGCGTGGTGGGGGCAGAGGGGGGTGTGGCTTCTTCAGCACCGTCAGGACAGTGGGGTAAATGGAGGCGGGCCTCGGGGAGAGGTCGCCGTGTCGCAGCTTGATCTTGTCGATGCTGGAGGCCGTGGTGTTGGTGGTGGTGGTGCTGCTGGAGCTGCTGTTGAGTGTGTCCGTCTTGGAGCTGTCTGTCATGTCCTCCTCCAGCTGCAGGTCCGAGGTCAGGGTGTCGATCTCCTGCACCACCTGCGGGCCACGGTATTCGGTCAATTACACCAGAAAGCTTTTCTTTCATTGTTTCTTTGTTTCCCTTGGGCCTGTCAGGCAAATCCAAGAACATGAACTGAAATAACTTTAACAACAACAACAACAACAACAACAAAAACACTGAATTATTAAAACTGCAAGACTTTTCAACCGTGAATGAGAACTGAAATACTCCATTGAGGATCTCCGGAGTGGAAAATGACCATAAACACAATTTTTGGTACAAAAACAGCCCCAGAGGCATCATTCAACTGACGCAGCTCCACTCCAAGGCTGATGCTCAGCAAGCAGAGCCCTGAATACTTAAAGCTCATCTCCAGCTCCTCCACCAGTTAAAACCAAATATAGCCTCATGTACGGAAGGTGCTAAGTGTGGTAGAAACGAGGCTGACTATATGTGGAACAAGAGGCCATCACCTGGACGTCCAAACCTATGGCGGACGGCAGAACCTGACTCAGGCAAATAACAGGATCGTGGCATTTCAGGAAAGGCATGACTGAAATGTCGCTCCCCTAAGCTACTGCTGAGCATCACACTGAAATGTTGCATCCTTGTCAGGAGAAATACAGGGTAACCCCTGTCTAACCCCCCCTCCCCCCCCCAAAAAAAGTAACTCCCAGGTGACGCGTGTGTAAAGGATTCCTCCTGAGTGGTGATGCTTCCGGAAACCAACGTCGTTCCCCTCCTCCTCCAGAACTCTTCCAGCTGGTTCACACCCACAAGTTATTTGCTCTCACCAGGACGGCCTCACTACTGACCGTGCAAAGAGAAAGAGTGTATGTGGCCGAATGTGGGCACGTGTGTAAAGGAAACGGCCGCCGCTCACCACGAGACCATGTGACCCGCCTACATCGGAACATGTGATCCACACGTATGTCACGTGGACAAGGAACCACATTTGTTAAATTCAGCAAGACAAAAGTCCCTTGGATGTATTAAACAACTCTGTCCCTCAAAAAGATATGCAGAAAAATGAATGTGCAACTGGACGGGAGTGTACAGCGAGCCCCGAGAACAACATATTCCTCAGATTACAAAAACAGGTTAGAGCACATTAACTTATAAAGAGAATTGGGCCCAAAATTATTGTAATAACACAATTCAAATGTGAGTGGCCAGGATGCAGCGTAAATAATGGGCTTGTATCCTTCACACCCAAATATGGTTTAAATTACCCTGCAGCAAACAGTTCTGTATATTTGTGTTAGCAGAACTGCAGCTACAGACATGGTCTGTTTTCAAACACCTGAGTAAATTCTCTAAAAACAGGTTACTTCACAAAAATGAGTGGCTGGACCTCTGACCACAGATGTTATTAACTTAAATGTTGTCTGTGAAAAGGACTTCTAAGAGATTCAAACCTACTCTTTGCAATTATTATAAAGCTCTGGGTTGTCTTCAAATAACTTATTCAGAAACAAAAAAGAAGCATTTGAGTTGATGCTCTGTCATGTTTTCACCTGGAAATTAGTGAAATTGTTGTTATGTATAAATGTCAGTCAAGGTGGCCCATTCACAATGCTCTGATGGACTGAGCGGCGGAATGGAGGCCCAGCGCTACACGCTCCCGGCAACGCGGGGGCGCGCATTTCAGCACTGAACACCGCAAAACCATCGTTCACATTCATTATCCAAGGATAAACGAACATCTTTCTGTTTAAATACAAGTTAAGGTTAAAAATAAGATATCATCTGAACAGATGGCTCAATGAACGGATAAACATGTGACTAGTGACGATTTACCTCCACTCTCAGCGCACTGTACAGCATGTCCAGATTTTATTTTATAGTCCGAATAAACCCGTGAGCTAGATATGTGCTTCCAAATATATAAAGCATGCACAACAACTGTGTCCGGTGTATTCCCTAAATCCGCTTTCTAATAGTTAAAAGGAAAAATAGTGGCTTTCTGTATTGGAGATTTCTAAAAACTCTTATCGTAGGCTATAAAAAGACCACAGGGTTTATTCAACAACGGGCATCCTATTGAAAAGCATTAAAAGCAGCCCTAAGCTTATTCAGTTACTCCTGGACGCAAATTAAACGCGCAAAACGTAACAGCGTCGCCGCACAAACCTCCTTAATTTCTTTTGCCACATCCTTTAAGTCCCCCAGGATGGTTTCTAGATCCTCCACGATGGTCTTGATCTGCCGTTTCACTTTAACTTTGGAGACTGCTCCTTCTGACGTCTTGTTCGCCTTGCCTGACATGCTTCGATGCGGCACGATAAACGCTCAGCGACCGGATCGCAGCGCCGATGCTGCCATGGCGAGGCGGTGGACGCGCATGCTGGCCGAGGCTGTGTCTCCTCCACTTGCACACATTGCAGATGAATGTAGCGAAGCACGGCACCGGACTGCACGCCTGCGCCACAGTCCGTATCAGCATCAATGTTTTTTCTTTCTTTCTTTTTTTTTTTTAACGAAACGTCACCCAAGTGGCGGAGCGGGGTGCGAGGGCATCCCTGTGCGCGCCTCCTCCGTGCGTCCCCAAGGTCCGATGACGATCTTAATGTGCAGATCTCCGGGGCAAAACCCCCGCATTTTTCCTGTTTGTTTATAAATCCGCTTCTTCACATCACCGCTTTCTGAAACTCTAATGTATCAGAGTCAGACGCAGGGGAAGAAAGCTGGACCATCCCTTTATCGCACGATAATGACAGCGCTGAAGCAGGTTAAAGTCCGGACAGTAAAACATTGACATTCTCATCTGTTATAATCACTAAGCCCCACGAAGATGCCGGATTCTCGTTTTATAGTATTTCATAATTCCCACAAATCGCGCCGCATATGTGTTTCATTCTCTGAAGGCAGTGCCAGGAAGAACAATGTCCAAACCAGCAGGCTTCTTGCGTTCATGAGTCAGCGAGGACCACCGCTACTGCGGAAACGGGCGCATCCAGCATCCGATGGCGTCTGCACGCATCGGCCAGATTCGCTCGGTGTATGAATGGCGACGCGGTTCGGAGGTGGACGCACACAGATCCGGAGTAACAAAATTGCGAAGCGTGCACTGATTATAAAGTGGATAAAATCATAAAATAAATAAAATAATCTAAAAACTCACTTCAAGTGACACGTATTCGAGCTGACTTTAAAAAGCTAATGAAAGTTAAAGTTTTCTCCCGTAAACATTTGAGCAAATCTCAAGAAAACATGATAAAACCTAGATTAAGTGTTCATGGTTTATCATTACATGTTCAGTTCTTTTTCTACTAGCATTATGTATTTAGTCAAGAGTAAGTCTGTAATATGGTTGAGAAATAAAACTAAACAGTCATTCACATGCAGAAATTTTAAAATTTTTAAATAATCAAAATAATATTTCATTGTAATTGTGTTCATTGTACAGGCAGTGAAGTTAAAGTGAAACAAAACACCAGTTTTGATATGTGCAAATTCTGTTTCTGGTGTAGATGTGGTCAGCCTAGTATTTTTCTATGAAAAAGGTTTTATGCTGGGCCCACATTGATATAATCAGGTCTCAAGAGGACATCCAATTATGTGCCTTATAAGCATAACCAAGTGAAATTCTCATGGCTCAGGGTTTAAAATGACATTGGAATATCAAGTGAACTGCTTTCGTGAAACAGAATATACTGCATACAAAGTAATGGTGAGTTTTTAACATCCACCAATTGCATGCAAACAAGGTGCACATGCCCTGCTGCTCATATTTTTAGCCTCTCTGCTTGAAGACTTTGTGGACTGACATTCCAACCCCGGTGTATCCCTGCCTTATGTCCAGTGCTGCCAGGAACAGACTCTCATCTCCCATGCAACCCTGACCAAGATGTGTCTGGAAGATCGAGGAATTAGGAATTTAATATGTAAAATTGTACTTGTGGTGGGAAGTGTTTTATGTCATATCTGGTGCATATCTCACAGATTAGCTACCCTAAGTGTGGTCAAACACCACAGCCACACCCACCTAAAGATGAGTACCCTGAGAAATCAATAACCTGGAGAAACTCTAGCTATCTATTACTCTATTTAAACTAAATCTGCTCTATCCTTTCCCAGTTTTGGTTATCTATTCGCTAAGGCTGGCTTTCTGGATCATCAGTTTTTGATCTTGCAGTTTCTTGATTCTGTCTATTTTGGTTTTGACTTCGAGGATGTTCTCTGGTTTCTGTTTACTGGCCACCTAACCCTGCTTGATCTATGATCTCATCCTTGGCTATCTCCATTTCATCTCAGCACTCAGCGTCTAACCCATCTCATCCCCATCTTTCACAGCTAGTGTCCCAAAATCTGTCAACACAAGGTACCCGGAGACCAATCTATCAAAGAGGTAAAGCTCATTGTGTGGAAGACCTGGCACCATGTGGCAGACTGACATCTGCCAGTGTTTCTCTTCTAGATTTAAAATAATTAATTAATCTCTAATTTAAAAAAATCCTTTAGCTATGATGCTGTAAAGACAAACTTTTCTGAATTCTGCTCATTCAAAGCATTTAACAAGCATATCATATTGAAATCCTAGGTTCACAAGGATATGGTGTGTGATCATATGCATTCGAGTATGTGAATTGGGAGGCGAGCGGTTGATATCCTTGGGTGTCCCAGCCAACTCGACCGATTCCATTCAGTGAGAAGGAGCACCGGCTCTATGTCAAGGTCCCCCTGGTGCTCTGAACATCCTATCTTGGAGAATCCTGTAGAGAAACAGCATTTCAGCCGCTTGTACTTGTGACCTTGTTCTTTTTCTTTTCATTACCCAGGACTCACAACTGTAGGTGGGGACAGGCATGAAGGTTGACCACTGAAGTGCGTGCCGAATCCAAGGACTTCATTTCATCACTATGGATCTCCTCAGAGCTCGCAAGACTGCAGTCACCGAGCGCCAGCCTATCCGTCTCACCTTCCATCTTATCATCACTCATGAGTAAGATTCCAAAGTGCTTAAACTCCTTCTCTAAGGTCAGACATACCTGAAAGGACCAATCTGCTGTTTACTGAGACAGTGCCACGGCCTCAGATTTAGAGGTGCTCATTCTCATCTCTGTCACCTCACACTCAACGTTGAACTGCTCAAGTACGTGCAGGTGGTCCTGGATGGATTCGAACAAAAGCAGTCTGTGACTATTTTCTATTCCTGCTACTTCTCCCTGGTGCTGTCTGTTTTCATCTGACACCATTGGTGCATTCCTCTAAAATATGGGACTAATTTTCTGTTGTAATTACGGGTAATCATGCCTGCTGCTGGAATCTGACCGGACGCTGCCTGTTGGAAATGCTACCTTTGCACAATCTTTGGCTATTTTCATTGCACACCTTAAAGGCCAAAATGTTAGAATCGTCTGCCTAACACACTGGACGTGTTTTCCATGCATGCTGTTTGGAGTTGCTGTGGATGCTGGTTCCTGAGGCTAAAGTTATGGCCAGAGTTGGAGTTTCCTGCTTGCACACTTTCCCACCTTCTGCGAGCCTCTCCCTGCCCTTTCAGCATAGTTAGCCAGGACTCTTACCAACCTCACGCTTTGAGCTTTCATCCTCTTTTGTTGGCAGACTCTTGAGAAATGCGCAAGACAATTTGGAATTGTTGGATTTCCAGGTGGTAAACTTAAACTCCCTGACACATCTGGCTATAGACACAGAAGATGCTCTGTTACTCTACAACCCAATTTTGCACCATGAAGGTAAGTGGACAAGGCTATATTCCTTTTTAGAGTCAATTTGTATTTGCATTATGTTTTGTGCATCGTTTGCTGCATGTATGTCTCCCCCTCCTGGCTCTCCCTTGATAATTTGCATAAGTAGTAAGTTTGGAGTTCAAGAAAGTAGGAGCTCGAGTGAGATGAGGGACATCGTATAGCCTTTTGGCCACACACACAAACAGAGAAAAATAAGTGCAAAGCATGCCGAAACAAATACATGCGTTCACACCCACAAACATGCTTTGAGAAAATTATTGCTTAAGTTTATTTTTGAAAGATCTATTGGTTACAGCTAAAAGGAGAAGTCCCTGCTTTCGTTGTAATTATTTTGGTTGGATCAGCAAAAATGGATTTTGCTGTAGAAATTGTGAATCAGAATATCCCCCATCCAAACCTGTGCAGCAATCTTGAAACATTCTTCAAAGTCTTTGCATAAAAAAATCTCAAAATGCTTATACTTAAATCCTGATAAATATTCAAAGCCTTGTCCAGACGTATGCAGGTTTTTTTTTTTTTAAATGTAGCATTTTCTATGTGTTTTGGCCCCTCGTCCAAATGCAAACGGAGCTTTGTGTCAGTGAAAATGGAGCTTTTGTAAAACCCCGTCCAGGGCGAAAGATATTCAGAAACTCCGTTTTTTGTGTCTTAGTGTAGACAGGGAAAACTCTTTTTTTTTTTTTTGGCTTGTAACGTCAGATTGTGCGTCGTTCACTCTTTAGCAGAGCTGGTAGGCTTCTGATTGGCCAACATGGCTTTAAGGTTAGCGTTATATCGCCGCCTGTTGGTTTTGCATGCTCTTGACAGTGCGTTGTAGCGTTTTCATATGGACAGATTTTTTTTTTATATATAATGCAGGAGGAAAAAACACCCTTTTTAAAAATATCCGTGTACGTATGGACGAGGTCTACGTCACATAAAGTCACATCAAGCAGTGGATGAACTCTATCGACTTAATACTGATAAAATTGAGCTCTGCTTATCAGATCTAAGACTCTTGTTGCCAACCTACCTGACGCAGCTAAGCACTGATGTTGATGAAGTTCCTTTTAAACCCACACTCGCAGTTGGTCGGTGTTATTTTTGATCACTGACTCAACTTCCAAATCTAGATTAGTTCCCTTGTCCTGACTGCATTTCCTCTGCCTTCTCTGCGGATACTGAACTCCTACTTTAATTCAGACCCTCATCATCTCCCCTCTAGACTACATGCAATGTCCTGCTTATTGGTGTGCTTTCCAAAATTGTCTAGATTACAGTATGCGAAAAACTCTGCAGTACAGGCCCTCAGACGTAAGCACCCATTCTCTGGCACAACTGTGCAAGAGAGAGGAGTTGACCATTATCATAAAAATCGTGCAATAATATTAATAGATCATATATACAATTTGCAGAAGAAGACTAATTTGTATATATTTACAGTTTCGATTAGTAGAAAAATCGCAGCAATAAGTCGTAAAAAATACTGGATTTTTTAAATCTAAGTAAAACTGGAAAAAAGTGGGAAAATAGTCCTGCTTTTGCAGGACAATACGCATCTGTCTGACGTCCAAAATTGCTGGGAGACAGGCTGGAATACATCACTTCCGGTAAAATAGGGCTCGCGGGGATTTAATTGGGCAAATCTTCTGAAATAGGCCACGCTGATTTAATAAAACTGCTGTCGATTATCTAGAATTTCCCGCCCCTCAAGAAGAAAAAGCGGAAGCAAAACGGAAGTGTAGGTTGGTTGTCAACAGCTTCCTCAGAGTACCGGGTTGCGTCAGTGCGCGTAGCTGTCGTTTGTGAGGTCGATAACCAGCGATTAATTTAGTCATGGCTCCACTGAGGTTTGATGGGAAAGTTGTACTGGTTACAGGAGCTGGAGGAGGTGAGTAATGCGGATAGTCTTTATTCAGTTCAGCAAGATGACGCATACATATTTGATTAGATTGATCCAGTAAAGCTAAAAAGTAATTTGCATTGAGGTGGCAGGTTGTCAGAATGCACCTGCAATTCGGCTTTGAGCAGAGCCTTCAAGAACAAAATCTAAGGAAAACCCGAAGCGTGGTGTTTGGGGAAGTAAGAAGTTACATGAGGATGCACTCTCATTTCAGCCGAATTGCTGCGTCCATGTGGGACAAAGGGCGCCGTGTGTGCAAACTGCAGGCACAGTGTTAAAGTTCGATCGTTATGTAGAGGTGACAGCCCGAGCCAGGAACGCGGGCTAGCATAAATTACCCCCCATAAGTAAATAAAGTTATTAACGTTAGTGTTCAAAGTACGGGCTTTTCTTATTACTGTGTCTTCTCTGCAGGACTTGGAAGAGAGTATGCATTGGCCTTTGCTGATCGAGGTGCCCTTGTTGTTGGTGAGTCACAGTGACTTTTGGGCTGAACTGGGCTTTCAGGTTGGGCACCTGTGCGCAAAAACCGGAAACACGATCGTGTTGTGTTCAGGTGTCAGCAACGCGATGCGTGGTTTCACGTGTCGGCTTCATCCCTGGGACAACTTATGTTTTTATCAGTCCCCATTTGTGTCAGAGTGAATACCGGGGATCATGGTGAATTCTGATGGACCTTTTAATCAGGAGATTTTTTTTTCTTAGCCAAAATATTTCGCTGCGGACACAGGCAAGTGTTACCACAGACACGTGTGTCCGTGCATGGATAAGCTGACCAGCCGTGGTGAATACGTTGGCCCTTCCAATAATAATTCTGATAATGATGATTACTGGTTTTCGTTTCACCCAGTGAATGACCTTGGCGGTGACATCAAAGGGGATGGCAAGAGCTCCAGTGCTGCGGACAAAGTGGTGGCTGAAATCAAAGGAAGTGGAGGCCAAGCTGTAGCGAATTACGGTGTGTAGTGTGATCAGATTCCCGTATCTCTACAGCAATAAAGTGCTGCACCAGGCATTAATAAATTTGGGTGCAGAGTGCTTGTTAAGCAGTAACCACACTTTTATAAAAAATAAAAAATAAAAAAAAATAAATAAAAAATTAATGGTGTTATAAAAAAAAATAAATGGTGTTAAAATAGAATTGACTGATTAGATGTTGCACAATACCATAGTAACTCTGCCTGAAAGTTTGTCCTTTCGAATTACTTCCTCGGAAAGGTATTTATCCAGAGTGTGTCTGGTGTGCGGATTCCTCTCATGAATCACAGAGATGCGGCTGTCTCTAATTGTACTCCTTCTCTTAATCATGCTGTGATTGTAGCTGCCAGCTGTCAGTCTCTGAACAAATAGTTTATTAACAAACGCTGGTTAACTTGCTTTACGCTGTATTTGACGTTTGGCCTGGCCAGGCCTCTATAGGACTTGTGCTATTGCAGTGTATTGTAGCTAAGTCACACTCGGCGGATGATGCAGTCCGTCATGCCTGTATGGTCACGTATAACAGAGAGAGTTAGGGGTGTGGCACATGACCTGTTCAAGAGTGCAAAGATGACAGACTCCCGGCTTGCCGTTTCATTTCCAGACTCTGTGGAAAATGGGGAGAAGCTGATCCAGGCTGCTCTGGACGCTTTTGGGAGGATAGGTACAGTAACAAGAGGGAACCATACAACTACGTTCAATTAAGCTGCAGTTAAATTCTTCGATTTGACTGCATGACTATATGGCTACATTGCTAACTGGTAATACTGTCTTTGGGAGTCTAGTTAGCATATAGTTAACTATTTTTAATACTTTTTTTTTTTTCCAGATATTGTCATCAACAATGCTGGGTAAGTACACATTTGAACTGCCGTTGCACTGAAATGTACAAATACTAAAACAGCTCAAATCTTATTTAGAGCTAATATTCCTAAAAAAAATCTATATTGGATTTTCACCAATGCTAGGATACTGCGAGATCGCTCCTTTGCTAGAACGAGTGACCTGGACTGGGGTAAGGAAGTCTGCTTGTTTTCCCACCATGGGTACTGGGCTTCTGGGGTTGCAGGCATGCGTTACAGGCTGTAGCCATTCCCAACGGCAGGTGGCTACAGTGAGGATTGTCACCCTGACTTCCTCGCCTGTCTCCCCTCTGTCGCTTTCTGGCAGACCTCATCCACAGAGTGCACCTGAGGGGTTCCTTCCAAGTCACCAGGGCTGCCTGGAACCACATGAGGAAGCAGAAGTTTGGCAGGTGTGGTTAAATCGGCCTAAGCTACACGGAAGCCCTCGATGATCGCAGTGACGGTGCCTGTTCATCTGTTAGGGTCCACAATGCATTTCCTTCAGTGTGTGGTCCTGTACAGTCAGGATCTGTGGGAATCTATGGTGCATCTTCTGCTCTTGTTTTGCCCAGATGTGGAGGCTGACCAGCACTGCTTCTCTTGGCAGGATCATCATGACCACGTCGACTGCCGGCATCTACGGGAACTTTGGGCAGGCAAACTACAGCGCGGCTAAGCTGGGGCTCCTGGGCCTGTCCAACACGCTGGCCATAGAGGGTCAGAAGTACAACATCCACTGCAACAGCATCGCCCCCACGGCCAGCTCCCGCCTCACGCAGACAGTCATGCCCCCAGGTCTGCTCCCGTCTCACTCAGCGCTTGCTGTAACTTTATTGCTTTCTCTGCTCAGTTCTGTGAAAGGTCTCCATGACGCCAGCCTGCGGTGTTGGGATAATCCCATGGGGGTGGGGGGATCCCCTTGGAGGTGGCATGATCCCATGGGGTGGGGTCCCCTTGGAGGTGGCATGATCTCCTGGGGGGTGGGTGTGTGGGGGGGGTCCCCTTGGCATGTCTGTCGGGCGCTAAGTGCCTGAGTGACCTGTGCGCTGCATGTTGATTCCATGCAGCCGGCTTGGCAGCTTTTGGAATGTACTGCACAGCTGTTCAGCCTGCAAATCAGGATGGGGGGCCCCCCTGTGGGGGGATGGGCGGAGGTCATTTTTATGCTTTATTCCTGGGGGACGATGCTTCGAGCTGCAGTTTGTACCCAGACCCCTGTAGGGCTGCGCAGTGGAGCATCTCCAGCAGTGCTGCATGCCTGCACTGTCTCAGTCAGTTTCAGCGTGATGCCGTCTGTCTGTGCTTTTTATTCACCATCACATGATGGGGTATTTTTTATTATTTTTTTATTTTTATTTTTTTAAACCCTAGATTTGCTGGAAGCCCTTAAGCCCGAGTATGTTGCTCCTCTGGTCCTCTGGTTGTGTCATGACCAGTGTCAGGAGAATGGGGGTGTATTTGAGGTGAGAGAACGGCACCCCCACCCACCTCCCCACAGAAATTTAATAGGAACATTAAAACCATTACATAAAGGTGATATTCCCATAAATCTGACTGCTGCTTGTTGTTCTCAGGTTGGAGCTGGCTGGGTTGGAAAATGTGAGTGATATCGACAAACTGCAGTATGAGTTACTAGACACGGTAGCTTTTTGGAGTACTGGAGTGTATGAGACTTACCACTGGGAGCAGGTTTCGGGGCCCCAGCTGCTCCAGAACACTCCGGAAGGTGCCTGCTGCAATCTCTCATGTGCGTGCGCCCTTGTGCTCTCGCAGTGCGGTGGGAGCGCACCCCTGGGGCTGTTCTGCAGAGCCGCAGTCAGCCCATGACCCCCGAGGCTGTACGGGACCGCTGGGACCAGATCTGTGATTTCCGGAATGCCGTCAAACCTACCAGCATTCAAGGTGCATATTTGGCAGCTGCTCACCCAAGCACCCCCCCCCCCCTTCCCATGGAATATGCTGAATTGAGTCTTTTTTTTCTCTTTTCCACTGTCATTCCCTTCATAGAGGCCCTCAATACTGTGATAGAGGCACTGTCTGACAAAAATTCTGAGAACCTGGTTTCCAATCCAACCAGCGCTTTCACCTCCACTACTCCAGGGGGCAGCAGTCCTGTGAGTACAGTGGGCTGCACCATGGCCCAGCCACATTACAGCTAAAATGGCTTAGAACACCACTGGTTCAGAAATGGGTTTGAAATGAAGAATAATTTAGCCTGTCTCAGTTTACAAAATATCATTTAAACTCAGGTGAAAATTTGTAAATCAGAGACATTGTTCTAGTTGTTTCTACTTGCTGAAACGATTCACTCTGTCTACAGACAGTCCCCGGGTGAAAAACATCTGACTTAAGGACAACTTGCACTTCTGTACGGACTGCTATAAAACCGATTTAGCCAGAATTCTTAACATAAATGGTTTGTGATAAACAAACACACACACACACACACACACAACTTCGTGATGCTCTTGAAAACAATGTGCGATTTCAGCAGTTCATTGGCTCGGGGTACAGTACTGTATGAGGTTAATTCTATTATTCCTATTACTATTTATAAATGTAAATCATTATCACAGACATTAACTTGATCAAGCTCGGCTGTGAAAATGTGAAACGAAGTGGTGTCTGTCCCCCAGAGATGTTACAAAAGGGCATTGTCGTAAAGTATAATTCCTGCAAATGTACAGACATGCAAGGTACAACCCCATTTCCAAAAAATGTTGGGATGTTGTGTAAAATGTAACAGAATGCAATGATTGCATATATATATAAATATAGTGAATTGAAAATAGAACAAAGACTACATATCAAATGTTGACACTGAGAAATTGTATCGTTTTATGACAAACAGATGCTCTAATTGAATTTCCCAGCAACATGTTTCCAGTCTTGACTTTAGAAACATCGTGTAACCTATTCGCCCCTCCCATCAGCTGGCAGCCATCGGGCAGAAGTTGCCGGACATATCCTTCAGCTACTCCAACATGCACTGCATCCTGTATGCCCTGGGCGTGGGCATGTCCACCAAGGAGCCCGACCACCTCAGGTTCCTGTACGAGGGCCACGAGGACTTCTGCTGCCTGCCCACGTTTGGGGTGATCCCGTCCCAGGCCTCCATGATGGAGGGGGGGCTCAGCTCCATCCCGGACCTCAACATCGACCTGACTCAGGTGAGACGGCCTGCATCGGGGCGAAACGCAGCCCACACGCACACAGAAGGATTCTGGGTCAAATCCCCCTGATTGGGAGAGTGATTTTGCCATTGGGCCTCTGAGCAATACCTAATTGCTCGAAGGACTATGTGACCCTGCTTTGCCAAAAGAAATGTCTGCCAGATAAATAAAAAATGTAAATGAACTCTTCAAATTGATTTGCAATATGTAGTCTGCATGCAGCCATGCAGTCTGAATCCTGCTGAGACACGCATCGCATTCATGCTTTTCTGTCTCTTCTCCATCCCGTGACGTGAATCCCCCTCCGTCCCTGTCAGCTGTTGCACGGAGAGCAGTACCTGGAGCTCTACAGGCCCTTGCCCATCTCAGGTAAGCTGTGCTCACGCTCCCTGCCGTCTGTCTGCGACATTACCCAGAATTCATGGGGGTCCCCTTTACTGCTGCCCTTCACTTGCAGGGACGCTGACCTCGCGGTCCACCGTGGCTGATGTGCTGGACAAAGGCTCTGGTGCCGTCATCCTCCTGGATGGTGACTTGCCGGCCGTCTCCTAAACGCATCCTCAGATGTCGGGGTGAGCCGCATCTTCTCACACCCCTGCTGGGTCTCCCCTCTCTCTCCATCTGCAGTTCATACGTACCATGGTGAAGAGCTGGTGTGTTTCAATCAGTTCAGCTTGTTCATCATGGGAATGGGTGGCTTTGGGGGAAAGAGGAGTTCAAGCAAGGCAAAGGTAACATCAGGCTGCCCCCCCCCCCCCCCATAGCTGCGGCACACACACACTGCCCTGCTGATGCTTGTGTTTTCGCTCACCCCACCCCTCTCCTCCTCCACAGGAGACAGTGCCCCCTCCAACCAGAGCCCCGGACGCAGTGCTGTCTGATGTGACCTCCAGGGATCAGGTACTATTCCACCCACTTCCGTTTGCTTCTTTCGTTGGGTACACGGCTTCTCCGCATCAAGGACGGACAAACGCGTGTGGTAGAATGGTCTCCCGTTAAGGGTGGAGCAGATCTCTAAGAGACTCGGCAGTGCTGACCTTATGACTGAAACGTGCACACACACACACACACACACACAACTCACTGGTGAACCAGTAACGATAACCTCCTGTCTGGTGACAGTGAGACGAAATGCTCTGTTCTGTTACTTGTGTAACTGTGCATGAAGTTTAAAGGTGGGATCACCTAAGTCATGTGCGCTAATTTCCTTGGGAATTGTCCAAAATAAACCCGGGAGATGAGAGCTTTTTTTTCTTCATACATCGGTGAATCCATATCTGCAGTGTCAGACTCTGTGTTTAATTGTTCCTTCAGTGCCTCCCAGACCACAGGAGTTGAACACATCATTGATTTTGGTTTTGCTTTGAGCTCCAGTTTTGTCCTTTTCCTTAAAGTACAGTTTTAGTGAGCTGGAGCTGATGTTCTGACTGTCCTGTTAATGGTCCTGTATAGAACCTGGCTGTGACAGAATTCTGTCTTCCAGGCTGCCCTGTACCGCCTGAGCGGGGACTGGAACCCACTGCACATAGATCCCAGCTTCGCAGCCATGGGAGGTCCGTGCCTGTCTCTGTCTGTCGGCACTTACCCACTGCCACCAACCACTGAGCCATACTGCGAAATGGCAAGCTGTATCTGAGTCGAACCTCTACCTGTGCCGTCATTCAGTGGGAGTTTCACCACCGTCTGGTCGAGATGCTAGTGTTCAGTGCATGGATTCTCTGAGGGAGAAAAAGTCCATATTCCATTACTCGTCATTAGTTTTGCACATCACGATGTATCAATGCATTTCTGATTACTCAGAACTTTAACCTCCCTCCTATAGAACAGCTTGAACAGAATGGATTTGTAATGCAAATTCATGCAAGCAAATGCTAATTCCACTAGTGTTTGATGCAACACAACGTAGCGATTCTCACAGATGATAGAAATTTAGGAAATTGCACGCAGTACATCATGGTGTACACTGTGTAAACAGTAGATAAGCATCTCTTCAGTTTTACTTCACTGCCTCTCTCCAAACCCGACAATGCCTTTAATGAGCAGACCCTTCTGCAGTGGAAAATCAAAGCAAGCTGGAACTACTTCTATATCTATTGTATAGACATAGAAACACGGTGATTGATCGATTCATTGTGGTTTTTGTTAAAAGAAGACTCTGGGGATTTTCCCAGATAACTTGCTGTGCCAGCGGATTACTTCTATAAGGATGGGGCATCTGATCCAGAACTTATCCATGCAGGTTTCAAAACTCCCATTCTGCATGGACTGTGCTCCTTTGGCTTTGCCGCACGCCACGTCCTGAAGCAGTACGCCAAGAACGACGTGTCCAAGTTCAAGGCCATCAAGGTGAAGCCGCTTTCCATGCCATGACCCCTGTTCTGAGCTACTGGATCACAGATATCAGGGCAAAGAGAAACTTGTAGTGGCAGTAAGAACATGTCATTGTAGAAATCGGCACTAGATCCATCAAATAGCATATTTAGCCATAATGTCTGGGTCTGTGCTGCTCAGCACAAATTTGACATCCTTTGGATTTCAACCAATAATCACAGCTGGTGTACCTGCCATAGAGATTTATGCTGATCTTTCGGGTGGTACTCTGCTGCATCCTTTTAAGGGTAGAACGATGTCAAACGATGAGGCTGCGAGCTGTATCCATAACGTCTGTGTAGATGTGATGACGTGACCTTGTCTTGCTTCCACAGGTACGTTTCGTGAAGCCGGTGCTGCCTGGTCAGACAATCCAGACAGAGATGTGGAAAGACGGCAGCCGGATCCATCTGCAGTGCAAGGTGAGGAGCTCCCGTAGTGCTCACCCAGAGAAGGTAGAGAGGGAAGGCCTTCACATCTCCTCTGGACACTAACCTGCCATCTTGCATGATGCATCCAGGTCAAGGAGACTGGAGATGTGGTCCTAGCGGGAGCATATGTGGATCTCCAGAACGTGGTTGACGTCAAGGTGGACAAGGTGCCAGAGGTGAGGCCTTGGTAAAGTTCTGTTGAGCTGGTGGAAGAGGAGAATTGGCTGGAGTGTACGTCTTTCATTAAACCTATAGGTGGGGAAGCTCCAGAGCGACCTAGTGTTTGCAGAGATCGGGCGTCGCATCAAGGACATGGGGGCGGAGCTAGTGAAGAAGATCAACGCCGTGTTTGAATGGGAGATCATCCAGGGAGGGCAGACCGCCGCCCGCTGGAGTAAGTTCATGCATGAAGCTAGAGAGCATAGCTCAGGAGAACATGGAGAAAACACGCATGTGGGGCGCTGCATGGCATGTGGGAGGGTGTTTTTGGCAGTGGCAGAGCGAGAATGTGATTGACTGACAGACTATTCTACACCGAAGCTCGGGGCCAAGAGCCTCTACTTAATGATTAACTGCCCGTTGGGTCAGTCACATTCAGCCGACTTTCTTCTTTTGGTGCTCAGCCATCGATCTGAAGAGCGGCACAGGTTCCCTGCAGAAGGGTCCCTACAGTGGCAAGCCGGACGTAACCTTCACGCTGTCTGATGAGGACTTCATGGATGTGGTTCAGGGCAAGCTCAACCCACAGAAGGTACTGGGTCCTGCATGTGATGGAGAGCGGCAGTGTCACAATGTCCGGGCACTTTGGTTTGTATGCATCCCTGTGCTTCCTGTTTACACCACCTACCCCAAGGACTCCCCTGGAGACCTGTGTGGGCAGGCCAGGGTACGGCGATTCACAGGCCCTTCCGGGAGCTGCTTCCATACCTGCTTGATAACTCTGCCACAAGCTCTCCTCCCTAAAGGGTGTGCAGAATGGTGGCAGAAGGGTTAGCGAGATGAGGGGCTTAACTGGTGTACACAGGAGCAGGGAGCCCAAACCCTGTGCTGAGTGAATGAATCTGAGACCTTTCAGTGATGGCTGCTGTCTTCATTCTCACAGGCCTTCTTTACCGGGAAGCTCAAACTACGTGGGAACATCGTGCTCAGTCAGAAGCTGGAGGTGATCCTCAAAGACTATGCCAAGCTGTGAGGTCTGCATCCGGCTCGGCCAGCTCCGTCTGTCTGGTGGCCACCGTCTAGCCAGATGGGAGACCATGCACTGCTCCCGCTCGGCTGTACCACGGCTCCTTGGTGCGTTTCGAACCCGGCGAGAGTCTGCTCCCTTTCTGAAGATGATGAAAACTAATCAAATCTAATCAGCAGTTTGTGTTCAGACTTCAAACATGGTTGCCCGCTGTGAAAATTAACTTTTGCCTGAAACTGTAAATTGTATATTAGGACTGTACATTTAACCTGTAATATTTTCAAATTAAAAGCCTGAAGCATTTGAGTGAAGGACAGTGAAGCACCCACCCATGGTTCACAAAACGTCAACTTGCCGTGTTTGTTACATCAAAGCGATTTATTATAATATTACTTTCCTTAATACATTTTGATTTACAACGTTTCCATATTAATTATAAAAATGACTCCCCTCTCCTTCACAGCTCGAGGGCTAAAAGCACTGGAAATGAAACAATCGTTTGGTTTTATTCCGGTTCTTGCCGTGACTCCTTCCTTCCCCGTCTCGGGAAATGGCACCATAGTAAGCAAGGCGGTCTGTCGGATCCCTCGGCAAAGCAAACAGCCAGCAATCTATACATGGTTAAGGTTCATGAAATTAAACCCAGAATCTCACATCCTATGCGTGTCTGGATTTTCCCATGAAATTTCATAATGGGGCGGGCAGGTGGACCTAAAGCATGCTGACTAGGCCGACTCCTACACGGATAACACGGCTCATAAATATCACTGCTATTCCACACACTTTAATTTATATGGTGCCTCTACATGAACAGCCAATGAGGTGTTTCGGCAGTCCTAATAGCCTGTTTACTTATTTACAGTAGGCACAAATGCTTTATCTTCACACCATGGAAAACAGCAGGGAGTCTTGTCTCCGGGGGTCACAATGAACCTTTTAAATGCAGTCACTGAAGCTGAAAAGCCCATCTGGTACCCGCCTTCAGGAAAAGCACACACTTGCATGAGTATCAGTGATCACTGGGACTGAGGCTATGGGCTCTATAAGAGTGAGGTGAAGATGTGCTTCCACAAGTATTCAAGTAAGTAGTACTCAATGTTTCAAATATAGGAGAGAAGGTTCCACAGAGTCCACACGTGGAGCAAGGCTGAGTACATCACTGATCAAATCAGGTGCCCCCTTGCGGGCTAGAGGACAAAGCGCACATCACCCCACGGATTGCCATTGCTGATGCCGAATCGGTCAGGCAGCATGCGCATCTTCATGGTGCCATCGGCGCCGCAGGAGAAGATGTGGTTGGCGGGGCCCACCTCCAGCTGCATGACCCCGGTGCCCAGGTTGCGGAAAAGTGACTGGCGCGCGTGTTCGTTGGGGAAGACGTGGAGCAGCCCCTGGTCAGCTAGGCCCCACACCTAAAGCAGGAAGGCCGGGAAAGTCATTAACAACGTGATGCTAACAACTCAGAAGGAGGGAACCTGTGCGGTTACCTGGGTAACGGGGAAATTACAGCTGGGGAAAAAATTTAATACAGCCACTAAAGCATGACATGCCAGGACTTCACAAACGGTACCGATGTCAGAGGAACACCTGGCTCACCTTGATGTTGCCCTCTGAGGAGCCGCTGATGAAGCAGGTCTCGGTCGGGTCGACAGCCAGCGCCTTTACGGCTGAGTCGTGGGCCTGGAAGGTCTGCCGCTGGGTACGGAGATTCAGGTCCAGCACACTAATCCAGCCCTTACGCCCCCCCGAGATCAGCAGCTGCTGCCGGGGGGCCAGACAGAGCACAGTGGCCCCCGTGTCGTGGCAGCTAAAGGCTTTGAGACAGGAGGAGAGCTCAACTCAGTGCAATTCACCGACTCGGTCAAGCTGCTGGATGCTTCTTTCAGGTTCTATATGACTTACCATGGACCAGGCTGTTAATCGGGGCAACCAGAGTATCCCATAAGCACACGTTTCTGTGGAAACACCAACAGAGGTTCTCATGCCGCTATTGTGTCAACCAGGCACGGACCTAACCCTAACCCTAACCCTAACGCTACCTGTTGTCTGTGGACAGCCCAGCGGTGGCAATGAGGGATGATGACCCCACAAACACAAAGTCGTTCGCCGTCTTGTTGTGGCACTGCAGGGTCTGACAGAACACAAAGATGCCAGTGAGGCACAGTTTGCCAGAAAGCACAAGGAAAGGGGGGTGGAAGATCTACTTACCAGATATGGTTTGGGTGCGTTTCCCGTCATGTTGGTCTGCCACAGGCTCAGGCCCCCATCTGCATCCACTATGCCAAACTGCATCATGGGAAACATAGCTGTATCGGGCCACATCGGACAACTTGCAGACTCAAAATGTCAAAAGGGGGGCGTTCATTTTTAGAAAAGCCATACAATACATCTTCCATCAAACACTTACTTTGTTGCCTTGGTAATTAAAACGGACCCGGGTGACCCTGGAGTTGCCGGGGCTCCTGTAGCAGATGATCTGCTGGGAGTGTCCCCACTCAAACATGCGTACGCTGCCGTCCTGGGCTCCCGTGAGGTCTGCCGGCAAAGTGAGAGAGGGCTTCAAGGCTCCTGCTAATGCTCTTAGGGGAGCAGTTAAAGAAAAGTCACCAAGTCAGAGAATAAACCCCAGTACTTACAGTAAGGTAAGTTGGGGTGGGAGGTCATCCTTCTGACATTGTTGATGTTCCTTTTGATCATCTGTTGAGAAGATCAGATGTAACACCAAAAATCAGTGCTGCTCAAGCAGTCACCAAACTATTCAAAGGAGGAGCAGTGAGAAGGAGAAGCATAGTGAATGCACACAACCTCAACTTTTGTTTACCTAAGATTTTATATGCATTCATTGTGCTACTGGACCAATCAGTGTCCGGCCCCGGTCTGCCTAAAACCAATCAGCTTCCGGGTCCGTCCAACCCTGTCAGGTGGCCTTCAGTTCCTTACCACAGAGGCACCACGGCCTGTCTGCATGCTTCCCAGCCAGGGCATGTTAATAGGGGTTCCAGGGCTGCTGTTGGTGTAGGGCGTGGTGCCATGGGCAGTAAAATCCTCCCGAGTGTGGATCACCAGGAAGTCCTCACCCCTGATGCGAGAAGGAAGAAAACCCCATTAAAGTACAGGTGCAAGACAAAAATTTCCTAAAACAAAGATCCCAGAACACTTCCCTGAGCACCTACCATTATTTTGCCTTCCTTTTCAGACTAAACCATCAGTGTTTATTGGGCTATACCATTTTATTGGTATTCTATATATTCTTCATTACACTCTGGACTCACCCTTTGTTCTCAGTCTCATCATCCACCCAGGTCAGTATCTGAGTGGCCAAGATGGAGGACACATCCAACTCCTGGATGTCATGGCTTGAAGCGATCACCAAGCAGTTACGGTTAGCCTGTGAGGAGGCATGAACCCAGACTCAACAGGCAATTCCGATTCCTTCGGCTACTGCCCTTGAGGAAAGTTTGCCACATACCTTATTGATGGCAAAGGCTGTGATGATATCAGACTCTTTGTGAATGATCCGGGGCCTCCCACCTGGGTATCCCGAATCGGACTCAATCTGTACGGCAGAGACACGCTCAGTCAATTCCAGGCTGCTATTGTCTTGACTCCCCGGAGCTGCAGATTTGGCTGATTTTCAGTTGCCTTCAATTAGTAACTTTTACACCGGGACCAGCCAGGTACACTGACTAATACCATCATAAAAAAAAGCAGAGTCAAGACTATCCCACCCCGCACCCAGTGAAAGACATGCATGTTACAGTCTAATATACTTTAAAGCATAAAGGGACACAGTAAAACCTTGGAGCTCAACACCTCTTAACTAAGAAACCTACTCGGACATCGAACAGGTCTGTTCGACCATTTTTTTCTACCAAAATCTTGGAATTCGATCTTGAACGGTGCAGTCAAGAAAAATCTAGCCGCAACTTGACTGAAACCTCGGAACACAACAAAACAGACATGCTAAAACTTATACGACTCGAGACACGTCTCTGAAGGGTGAAACAAAGGCAAACGACCTACTGGGATGTTCATGTCTATGAATTACTCTCAGTCTCGTGGTACCTCTCAACCAAGTTTGACGTGCGAAAGCTGTGTTCGGTGTGAATTTTTTTGTGCTTTACCTACAGTATTTAGTGATACGGTAATCATGACCCCTAAGAACGTGAGCAGTGATACCAGCAAACCAAAGGGTAAAGTAATGAGAGTAACTGTAGAGCTTAAAAAGGAAATTATAACGAGACTTGAAGGTGGTGCATGTGTCTCTGCTCTCACTTCGGAGTGTGGGATTGTCATTATTTTCATGTTTATTGCTTTTGTATGTGTGCATTAGTTTTATATGGATTGTTAATGCTTTTTATCATTAGTCACGTACGTAAATGAGCAATCATTTGGGGGTCTGAAACAGATTAAATTCACTTACATTATTTCTTACTGGGAAATCTGACTTTGACCTTGACCACATCTCAACTTGACCAGCCATCTGTAAATGAATTAAGTTTGTGCTCCAAGGTACCACTGTGCTTTAAAACCAAGTGCAATTGTAAGTACTGAGATTGACAAATGGAAAGAACCTGTGCAAACAGTGCTGCTTTTAATGTGGCAACTGACTACAGGCCAAAATGGATCCTCACTCTGCTAATTCAGTGCTACGTGAACCCAGCATATTACTGTTAGATGATCTGATCTCTGAAGATTGCTAATCCACTGTTAAAAACATCTAACCTCAATTACACCCTTTGAGAATATTAACATGCATTTCCAACAATTACTCTGATTCGAGCTGAAGGAAGGTAATCTAAACATGAAATAGGTTATGATGAGGTGTTGATTAAAATAATAACGTCATGTGAACATGAGTGTGGGCCACAGCAAAGTATGTTTCTCCCTGATAAAACCAGGCAGTTTTTGGTCTTTCACAAAGTCCATTTTGGCCTTCTCGGTTCAAAAATGTGAAAAGCCATAATTGTAATCGGTGAGAGGTCTCAGGGGATCAGTCACATGATGGCAAACTGCAAGGTCTTATGGGGGCACCTTGACATGCGGGTGAACTTTAACCCCAGCAGCTTTCTGAAAGACCGTACCTGGTTGTGAGAACGCTCTTCTGCCACAGAGTGTGTGTTACTGTCAGTGCGGTCCTCAACAGACTTAAACATTCACGGTGACAAGACAGACAGAAATAGGGTGTGAATCATGCAAGTCAGACTGGAATGCAGAGAATCACTGTTAGCATTGCACTAAGGGTCGATGACATCGTAAATACGTTCACATTCACTAGGTTACTACACAACACTCATTTGACAAAT